CTACCAAACGGCACCATCGATGGTGCAGAGGTTCTTTTCTGCAGGGAAGAGAAGATCCGCTTTGCTAGGATTTTGTCTGGTGTGTCGACGGCGAAGCTTGCTGCTTGGGAGTTCACGTTTGGCAGTGCGGAGTCATAATTAGATTTCTCATGTGGACCTCTCACATGTGTTTGGGTGCGTGGCAGAATGCCATGTAAACCAGTCGTGACTGCATCGACGCGTCGGGAAGAACAGAATAGATTGCTAGCCAGGTCAATCTCCCAGGAATGGAAGGTCCACAGGTTTTGATCCACTGCCATATCAATTTAAGGTTCCACCAAGCCAACCAAGCACCAAACACCACACCATCCTTCTCCAAGACCCTCCCCAAACACCAACGCAACCGAAGCTACCAAAGCAATCAAACCAAACCGCCGCACCACGCACCATTGGCACCATCAGCCAGCGTGTTGGATCTCAGTGCCAAGTGTCTCACTGCCTCCAACTTCACAGAGATCCAACTCCAACAGCCCCGCTGTGATCTGCACCTTCCGCGTCAGCCGCGCCGCGCCCTGTGTGGCCAACAGCCGCTCCGCCTCACCGACAAGCCGAACGTCCGGAGACCGCCGCGCGGAGACCGCCGTGCGGAGACCGCCACGGCGGGGACGGCATACCTTCCATTTGCTGTTGTGGATGGGGGGGTTCTACTGGTTTCTACTGGTCTTCAACAAGTTCTAGAACTTCCACCACCTTCCAGCCAGTTCATCTCTTCTGAACAAATGTGTTCAACGTGCCACAAGAGTACAGCGTATCTCAGAACCTGCCACGTATATGTATGATTATATATATATATGTTGTAATGGCTGGTCTGGGCTGGTGGCAAATGGTTTGAATCTGAAACAGGATCGTTGGAGTTGGAGTACTTTGGATCATATCATTTTCGAGAAATCTCTTGCAAAGAAGAAGCGGCCTTTTTCAGAGGAAGAACATGAATAATTATTTCAAAGGTTGTAGAAAAACAATGGTACGGTACGTGATTCGTCCTTGAGGCATGTCTTCTGGAAACCTGAGACCTGTCTTGATGTCTATGTGGTCGTCGATGGGGGGCTGGGCTGTTTCTGGATGGATTGACGAAATCGAACACAAAATCTCAGCAGTGCAACCAGTGAATGATCGAAAGAAAACAACAGGACTCGTTCCCCGCACAGATTGATTCAGGCCCAGAAGAGAAACCAGTGATGGCTTGCTTGTCCAAATGTATTTATATGGTTTCTGCACTCAGCTGAAGAGTAAAGGAGGCTTTCATCCAGAACCTGCAAAGGCTCGTTGGCCTTACGCAAATCCTAGTTTTTGGAGAGTCCATGTGGCTGTTCTTGTCAACAAAGTGTGCTCCTACCTCGCAGTGACTCTAAATAAGGATGCAAGTCCTGAATCTGAACATCTGAACAATATTCACCCAACCAAATATGGTAATTACATCTATGTTTTTCCATGCCTTTCCCAACAGAGCTCTCTGCTGACCAATCTGCCCAGCTTCACCACCCAGGGCACCGCACCGGCAGCTGGGTGGCTGTGGGATGCTCTGCCAGCCAAAGGAAGGCCGACTTCCCCGCGCCATCAAATCCCAGGAGCAAAACCTGCCGAAAATCTCAGCCTTCAAGAGATGGCCTCCAATCTAGAATGGCCTCCAACCTACTAGCAATGGCTTCGCATCTGGTACCCACCGTAATACACGATCAAATGGGCAGGCGATCGTTCAGACAGGCGTCCGCAAGTCGTGATACCCGACCAATGGGTTTTGGGTGTTTTTCTGTATATACTTGCTATGTTTTAGTCGCAGGTCTATCTTCTTCCATGAAGTCGGGAGGTCTCCCTAGTATAATTACACACAAATAATCCATCAGGCAAAGAGCAGGGAAAGTCACTGTTTTTCACCCTGCTCATGCCCAGCGGAGAGTTCTCCACCCCACCCAGTCAGCTTGGGATTCACCTGAAACGCCCCCAGTCACCCCGGTCGTCCCCTGCCTTTCGAGATCCGAGATCTTGCTGAGACTGCTTGGGGCTTGGCTCTAAACACCTGAGCTGAAGATCGGTCAGTCTTTCCGTCAGTGCCCAGGTGTGAAAGTGCACCAGCATAGTGGTCAACATCTGAGGACGGAGCCTGCAGGGCAGCACGCAGCAAAGGACGAAGCCCGCCAGACCATAGGCACGGGGCAGCCTTGCACCAACCCCAAGAACCTTCGAAAGGGACATCCAAGTTCGGCTCACGCCGCTGTAGCCCCAAAGAAGGGCCGGGTGGCTGGTGGTAGTCCCATTTCAGTGGGAGTCCCATTTCAGGGGCTCATGTTGTCTCACTTGATTTCTGGGGCTCTATAGATTTCACCCCCATCCATGCTATACTGTGAGTATATGAATGCATGCAATGCCTGTTTTCCCTCTGATCGCCATACGCATCCTCCTCATCATCCTCCTCCGCCTCCTCCTCCAACTCCTCCTCCTCCTCCTCCTCCTCATCATCATCATCATCATCATCATCATCATCATCGCGCCTGCCTGCTGCAAAGCCAAGCAGTCCAACGTCGCAGGCTCACCGCCATTGGTGCAGAACACCGCTGCTATGGGCGTTAAAATAGAAAGCGATGTGCAAGACGTTGACCCCAAACTAAGAAGGGATCGGCTATAAGAAAGCAACTAACTAAGACGTCAGTCTTGGATCTTGGCTTCATAAACAGGAAGAAGAAAGCATCACCCCCTGGCCGATGTCTGGGCAAGAACACATTCAAGAGGTCGTGAAGCAAATCGCCTCCTCTCTTAGCTCGCCTGCAATGTCCAATGGTGCATCATCGGGTGGCAATACTCTCCATGCATGTGGTGTAAATTTATGGCAGGTGTATATTGACTGAGGGAGTAGTCGAAAGCTCTTTGGCTCTTGAACCACCCCACTGGCATCCTGCTCTCCTCAAACCATCTCAAACCCATCTTTGGTTCTTCATTAGCGACCTTGCTCTTCTGGATCTGCAGAGTAGCTTACAGAAACAGGGATTTATCAAGGGCATTTGTTCTTCTGCTGCATGAGAGTACCAAATAAATAGTGGCAGCTCAGAAAGAGGTGATCCAGTGAATACATGGGGATGTGTCCTTAGCTCATCAGCTTCAAATGGATTGGACATGCTGGGATGCTAGCAAGTCTTCTGACTGAATCGGAGCTTGAAGCCACCTTTCGTGCTACCTCGCATGTGCAATAAACCTGTAGACTCAGACTCCTGGATAAACTTCACACTTCCGTGCTCATCTCACTGGAACCCTCTCCAGACATTGGAAGAGTTTCACTCAACCACTCCACAAACATCCGAGCGGCCCATCAGCCACCCTCAGCCACTATGCTTCGGTCGCTTCTTTTGCTCTAAGCATCGACCTTTTCGGCTTTGTCCTCCGCCTTCTGCAGAACGGAGTCGGGGTCTGTGAGCATTTGCCTGGCGATCTCGGCCACCGCCGCGTGCGAACATCCTGCGTCCCAATCGAACACGATGTCGGAATCGACCGAGATCGTGACTGGGCGGTTCGGTGACCTCTGCCGTTCAGTTCGTTCGGTGACCTCTGCCGTTCAGAGCGACCCTCTGCTCTCCAGCAATCCTTTCGACCGTTCGCCATGACTTCCTGGTTCAGATCCATTTCAACACACTCCCTGAGACCCCACTCTTGACCTTTCAAGACCGTTCACGAGAGTGACCCGGAACAAAATAGCAGGTCGGAAGCACTGCATGTAGGCCACAAGATCTCTTTGAGCCTCGGCTGTGCGCCAAGCTGCTGGGCTTGTTGAATATAAGGATTGATTGGGTCAAAACTCCAACCAAATCAATAATGTTATAGATGGCAAGAAGACTGAACAACCACCACATCTAGAGCAATTGATTTATATAGGCCTTAGGGCCTTAGGGTTTGGGATTTATCTTAATTTATTGGGCTGAGCATTCTGTGTCTGGTGCTTTTTCTGGCTGTTTGCATTGGATCCATGGGTTGTGGACCAAAAAGATTCTGGAAACACTCTGCAGCTGAGAGCATCCTCGGGACAAAACTTGGTCGACTAAATACCGCGGGTGTTGTAGAGATCGTGGCAATTCTATATACAATTACTATATGCTGTACGTGAGGCCTGAATCATTCATTTCCAAAGCTGATCCTGCCTCTCTCGTGAAATCAACTCCTGATTCAGCCTATTCAGATGTGATGAGTTCATGCCAATTCGATCTTTAAAACCTCTGACCTACCATGACGCCACGCCCCCCACGAGTCTCCACGCCGGTGGCAGTGCGTCTGCGGAGGCCTGCATCTCTTGCAGCCTTGGTCCGCAAGCGCCCAACGCGCCCACGCGCCCGCACGGAAACGCCAAGCGGGTGCTGAAGAGCTTGTCGTGGAGCTTCCGGGAACGGGGCAGCGTGGAGCTTCCGTTCGGAGCGTGTCGATGGGTCTAATGACTTCTTGAGGCCGATAGAGGGATCATCTCATGGTGAATACTGTCTGGTTGTCCCTAGTGTCGGATTCCCACCATGTGAATGCACATCTAAATGAAAAGGAAGCGGTGAAAACTCCTGCGATGAACCAGCTGCCTGTGGCGTCAGTTCTCAGGTCAGTCCTGCCCTGGCCGCCCTGGGCCAGCCCACATGACCTCCAAGTTGATGCCCATCATGGCATAGGTCTCCTGAAGTTTCGATGCACGATGAGGCGACAGTTTCCTGGAAGTACCAAAGTGCTGAGTGCTTTGGTTCGTTGCCTCCTAAAGGCCAACGAAGCAGCATCAACCCCGAACAAGGTGTTTCTCATCATCCAGCGGCATTCGCCATGTAACATACCACAGCCTGAAGGTTGGCCATGCTACTTCTGAAACACAAATAGATGATCCAAGAGGAGAGAAACGCAGTGTTGTGACGTACTCGGTATCTGCATCTCCAGGTCATCACCTACCAAGTTCACCCAATTGCCACTGCCGACTGCAGCAAGATTGCTTTTGGACATATTTGGACCCTTGAGCCACGAACGGATCGAACAAGATGGTCATTCCGGCATGTTCGCTTCACACATCCATCATCCATCTGTCGGGGGTGCGTGGTCAAGGTGCGTGTCATCTGACAACACATAAAGAGACCAAGGCAGCGAAGCAGCGAAGGCAGAGACAACTTTGGAAGATGCTGTAGCCCAAAAGCAACAAACTTCGAGACTCTGTATATCCAAAAAGCAGGGTGTAGTTCCTTGTCACCTGCGTAGAGCTCCCAGAATGTTTCAGGTGAAAAACAACGCATGAAAATGTCCAACATATTCCAACCATCATCAACCATCTGTGGATTGTCCGTTCGATTCTCAGCCTCTTTCATTTCACCCCCACTTTGTCCCCAACAACCAGGGCCGGATGTTCACTCCACCAAGACGATGGCCTCAGGGCCCGGTCATGAGCCTCCCGGTGGTGCGTTCGATCGGCAGGTCCGTTCGTTGCATGGATTTCGATGGTCGCAGATCCTTCGGTACCACCGGGAGGTCGGTACGCTGCACCGGGAGGTCGGTGTTCCTGACTGCCGCGCATCCGAGAAACTCGGTTCGCTCCTTCATCTTCTTCACATCTTCTCGTGTCCAGCCTGGCCGGGAAGGGTCCAATGTATGAAGAGCGGCCCAAGCTGATTTGATTGGACACACCGTTAAGGGAAATTAAGAGTACATCTGCACAACATCGAAGGTATTTTCCCCATGGTGTTACCTAAATACTATGTCGGCACTCTGAGGCCTCACCACTTGTTGGCAGCAAACAGCACAGGTATGCACAGGGGCTCGACAATAGACTCGCTTGGTGGTGGTTTTGATTAAACCAACAGGTAGCACCCGACCATCAGCCCGAACCACCAGTCTACCTAGCCAACTGGGCCGAGAAAGGGGGGTCTCCAGGAAGGCTTCGCCGCCGCTCTTCCCGGCTCCGCGGAGCCAGACGGCTCCAGGGAGCCAAGACATCCTGCAGCAAACATCTGCAAACACTGGGGCTTTGAAGATTGAATATTTACTGATGGTCAGATGGTCGCCCCGAATCCATAAATCCTGGATTTCGACGTGGTTGTTCCACTTCTCCCCTTCAACAAGGCACATCCCGTCTTCAACACCCTGCCTTGCTCCTGCGAAGCTGCCTGATTTCAGGCCAAGCGTGCCAGCATTGGCTCCCAAGACTGGACGCTACACAATTTGAACATCAAGGTTTTAGTCAGTGCATGTCAGTGCTTTCAAACGTCCTTGGTTTGGTTGTGCTGTAGGGCAGAAGATCATCATGTCATCAACCATCATTGTGTGCGACCGGATCCTAAAACTATAGCATGAAACTTGAACATGGACTGATGCTTCAGCCCTCCAAAGAAATCACATCATCTTGGGATCCATTACCCAATTACTAAGATGGGTCTTGTTTCGCTGCTTTGTTGATGCGAAGGCGTCGCAGGGGTGTCAATCTTGAATGCAGACCAATGATTCACCAGAACCCACTGTCCAAAACGCCAATCAAAACTAGCTTCATGGAACAAAACTGTCCACTTCAATGCAGAACACATCCATGTGTGTGTGTGCGCCCAGTTGCTTTCCTCCTCTCTGCCCATCGCACGCCTTGAGCTCCTTCAAGAAGAGCTCAGGCTCGTTCGAGAAGGCGGCCAAAGCTGAGTCAGGTGCCGCGGCGCACCGCGCGCAGCGGGTAAGATTTGCAGTCTGTCCCTCAATGGTTTGAGGCTCGGATTTTGAAGAGGCGTTTTGGCATATTCTAGAACCCCTCTGACCCCATCTTGAACAAACAAAAACTAGTGAGTGGCTGATGCTCCAAAAGAGGTGCCACATAGGTAAACACTTACATCTCATATCCTGGCATTCGGTTCGTTGCTGACGGACCCTGGCGACAGAGGTTGAACAAAGTGAAGTGGCTTATCCCGATCCCCTTCTTGGGTCCCCATGAGCCTCTTTTGGCAGCGTTATCGTCATGCATATTTGAGGTATGACTTTCTCAGAGACAAGAAGATAAGAGGGCATGGACTGGTGACAAGCTGGAGGGAGCTCCAAAAGAAACATTAAGAAAACAGGAGTTGCAAGCATCTATCAAAATCTGCACTCTCCGGGTGCCCAAAGGCTTCTAAATAGGAAGCCGGCGAAGCGCCAGCAAACCCCCTTCATCCCCCTTCTTCAGCCAAGGGGGGAGGGAACTTGCACCGACACTCTCGCTGAGTGCCCAGACTCTGAACGAAGTTGGGATCTTCCTGCGCACTCTCGAAGAGTTTCTGTGCCTCATGACTCGTGGCTCTTGAAAGTTGAAGTCGCCGGTCCCCGGTGTTGTTTTGGTTGCAAAAGCAGTGGCAGCAAGCGGCAAGTGGCAGCAAGCAGGATCAGTTGGGTGTGGGGCGCGACATCAGGAGCAACATTTTGGGGGCAAACCCAGTGAGGTGCTCACATTGGTGTACTGTATAAGTATATACGTGCGTCGGGTTAACCATGCTTGAGTCCTGGGTGCTGGATCCCTCAAGAAAAGACATCCTCCCAGACTCCACCGACCTCTAATTGTCAAAGGAGATTCGTGTGGTTGTTGCAGGGTCTGTCACTACCTTCGCTGTTGGATCCACAAGCTTGGGGCAGATGTTCCTGGCTCGAAGTCCAACGGTTTCCTGGCTACAAAGTGCAATTATAGGAGCTCTTGACATACTGCTGCTGGCAGACTAGGAGCTTTTGCACTCTTGCATGCCCGGTGGGCGTGGCAGCTCCCTTCTGCAGAAGATACCACATATAGTCTGTGGCCGCCGAAACAGATCATCATAGGTCCTGGTCTATTGCTCCAACACCTTTGGTGCAAAGAAACCATCGTCCTGGTCGGGTCAGTCGCTCCCCCCAGGCCTCGCGTTGTCGCTCTTCGAAGCGTTCGATGTCCATGTCCTGCGGAGCTCCGCGTGGCGAACCGCGTGGTGACGTTGTCTGGTCGGTGACGGAAGTGGCCCACAAAAACCAAGGCTCCATTGTGCTCCAAGAAGTACTACTCGGTCACCAGAATCATGTTGGTTGGCTTTCGACTGAAAATGTGGTTGGCAACCAAATGGCTCTGAAAAATGAGGTATGTTGCTTGCTCATGGGTCCTGGTTGCAGACTTACGGTCAAATTATGTGTGTCCATCGTCGAAATTAGGAGAGTAAGCGAGTAATGGCAGTGAACTGATCTCCTTCGCAACCAAACTGGGTCAACACTTGGTGGCAAAAGTACATTTGGTGTGACATCCAATCCTGCCCCCCAAGCACATAAAAAGAAACAACAAACAGAACATCAAGGGCTTCTGAGATCTTCTTTACGCGTGGATGGATGACTTGGTCACCACCAGTCACTCCCTTTAAGACACCTGGCTCCGAGGCCATGCCGAACCGAGTGGCCTCCAAGTTGGTCTCGGGAGGCGCTTTGGCGGCTTGCGGCTCCATGCGGCCTCGGCGGCAAAACGGCGAGTGTACGGCCGCAAAAGACGTCGGTCGTCCGGAAGGGGCGAAGCACGCCAGTGAGTCCTGAGCAAAAAGTCTTGTTGATAGAAATGTTGCACCAGGCAAATCACAGGAACAACTTCATGTTCGTGTTAGGCATCATAGGTGCAATGATGTCTTCCAGTCTTCCAACCCCAGAAACCACTGAGCGTCTCGCCAACGAGGCCGATGTACACTTCGCCCGCCAGCTCCTGGGCGCCAGCGATTCCGGAGGCGAGAAGAAGGCGACGAACGCGCTATCTCAGATGCAGTGTTGGCTGCCCTCCCTTCTTGAGATGATTATTTCTTTCAAATCCATGAAACCCAAAATCAAGAACTGACACAGAAATCGAAGCCCCAGGACCAATAATTGGTTTCACTTGGACCAGCTAGGAGATGGATCACCTGGTTGTTGAGAGATGGTGCTTTCGAGGTTCGAAGGCACTTCTCTTTGGGAAAAATAACATAAAATAACGATCTCTTAGAGGAGGGAGTTGCCGGAATCTGATCCCTTTGTGCGTCCGATGAGAAAGAACTGATCCTCTACCATGGGCCGATGAGCTCTAAGACCTATAGGACATCCTTCCTTGTTATGCCAAACATGCTAAAACAGTGAACCCTTTGTTTGTCTTTGCAAATGTGAGACCAGCTCCAGAACCAACCATCGTCATAACCGATCAACACAGGCAGGCGCTGCTTTCTTGGAAGACTAAACAAATCCAACGCAAAGAGTCCGGGACCATGCTCGGAATAGTTTCAAGCGCAATCCAAAAGAGGGACCCCACAAAAGAATGTGATGAAACACGCTTTGATCGAGACTTGAAGAAATGTCAGCGGATACGGATACACATGTACATGTACAAACACGCGTCCAGGTGTTACTTCAAACCACCCTAGAAAGAGAAGTTGGTCTAGGATTCTGACAGCTGTTCTTTTGAGTTAATGGCAATGGCCTCCAACCTAATAGCGATGGCATCCATCACCTGTAGTGTTTTTTGACAGATTCTTTGAAGAACTTCAGCCCGATTGATCTCCCAAAAGGGCCAAGTCACATCTTCCAGCAGCTCAAACTCGCTGCAGGCCTCACTTGACGACTCATGGGGTGCACGTTCGGTTGGTTTCCCACGAAGCGGAGGGTGGTGGTTGCACAAAAACCGTTGACCTTTAAAGGGACACATGTCCGGAAGAAAGGGGACAAATCTTGGTGCAGGCAGGAGAAGTCCGTTTCTAGATGATCAGATGATGTCCTCCAGAGCGCCCCAAGTCCACTTCCATGTGTTTGTGTAGGTGAAGTCTGTGATGGATTATTCTGTGGTGTGTGTGTGTGTGTGTTCGGCTTCGTAGATGTGCACACGAGTGATCGACCGGGGCGTTGGAATGGCAGCTATAGTCAAGTAGTGTCGTTGATCACTGAAATTACTTGATGAGGCTTGCAGCTGATTGATTTTGAGACAAAACCATGATTCTCGTGCAGAGTTTCTTCCCCCTTCAAGCAGTGGTCAATCCCAGTCCCAAAGCACATTTGGTAAGTTTCAAGGCACCAGTACAGATTTGAAGGGTCTCAAGGAAAAATGTGTAAGAAATCTGAGATAAAAAGTCCTTGAGTCCTTGAGGCCTAGAAAACTATTTGTCATTGATGCCTCAACCAATTTTGATGTCTTCATAACCATCCAAGACTCCGCAACGCATCCAGGCGACTCCGCCCAACGCTGGCGCCTGAGCCCACATGAGCTGGTCACCCAACGTCAGTAGCCCGGACCTTGCGAAGGTATCCTGGAGCGACCCGCGAGCAAAAGCGCCGTGGGGACGTGGGGTTTGGTCCTAGATGGCTCGGACCATGGGCGGGTGAATGTGGCCGTGAAGTTGAGATGATTCTGATGTCACGAATTCAACTGCAGCCAGCTGGGGTGTCCTTGAGCTCCGAAAATGACGCCAAAGCCAGCTCTCCCAAGCCTCGACGAGCGCAGCGAAGCAATGCGAAGCACAGGGCACATGTTCAGCGCAAGAAAGGAGCCTCAACAGTTCTGGCCTGCTTTTTTTGTACAAAACAAATCTTGGTCATTTGTACTATTATATGTACATATATATATATATATGTCTTACCACAGCAAACGACTCCTGGCAGCCATTACCTCCAAAAAGTATACGACAAACTCAGTCATTGAGCTAAAGGATTCTCACTCTTATAGACAAACGATCGAATATACCCAAAAGTAGAATTAGAAAGCACCCTAAGTCATCCTTCGACCAGCTTGTTCCCTTTTCCTGCTGTTGTTGCTGCAACTGCTGTAGTGGTGGTCGCAGCTTAGGGCCTTCTCGTGCTTCCAGGACTTGCCGCACGTTCAACGAGAGCCTGGCAGAATGCACGCACACCCAGCCAAGATGTCAATTACCCTGAGACAAACAAACATATACTCCTCACCAGTTACCTGCAAAGGTTCCCCTTTTGGGGGGCTTTGGGTCAAAATGAATATAGGATCCTGTGCCTCGACTGCTGTACATCCTCGGGCAGGACCCGAGGGTTCCCCCAAGGGGGCTGCCCTTGTGCTGTTTCCTCACAGCTCGTTGCTCTAGGTGATCCACTTGTGGTTTGTTCATGTTTGTTCTGAAGTTCCCCCCATGTGCATGCTCGATTCCCACACTGCCATCACAGTTGGGTCCGGCCTCGCCAAGTTCATGCTGCGAGCTGCAGCGCCCTTGTCCATGGTGATGCCTGCGCAAAAAACGACGCATGGCTGTGGGTGGAAACAATCTTCAACCCTGAAACTGTAGCTTTCGTCATCGTTTCCGTTGAAGGTACCCTACGGCTTGAAGCATCTTGGTCCATTCTGCCTGAAAGATCTCATAGACAGGTGCTCCAAGGCCCCACTTCACATACGCTGACATCCAGGAGCTGCAGGAAATCCAAGTCAAATGATCGGTCGCCCAAAGAGAGATTCTCTCCGGATTTTTCGAGAGTTGCTTGGAGTTCTGCTGGCATCTCTCACCCATGAAGGGCACGGGCACACCATTCTCCAACTTCTCAAGATACACTTTCAGATTTCTACAGTTCAATGGAGCCTGTTGCAGCCGCAGCCACTGACACAGGTTTCCAATGATTCGTCTCTTAAGCATTCTTGAAGGCCATTTTCTGCTGGTCTTACACCGGCCCCGAGTTCTTGGCCAATTCCACCCCCCCTCTCCCCCACTCTACATGCCGTTACATCCCCCCCCGCGCACGCTCACGCTAACGCGGCCTTTCGCTTCCTTTTCCACCTTGTAGCTCTCGGACTTCTTGATCTCGCCCCTTTGGCCATGTCGGCAGGCAAACGGCCGTCCGGCTTCGGCCGTCTGCGGTCGAAATCGCAAACCACCAGCATCCCATTCAAAGGCTGCTTACAAAGCCCAATTGAGCACAATTTGTTTCAATTACAACCTCCATGAATCTCCTATTTCATGGCTTAAGTAAGTCTCAGATCCGGCATCTTTCCAACAGATCTCCTGAAACCATCCCGGTTCACCCAACTCCTCATCTGAACCACCGCACTCTTCCACCCTTCCACCCACTCTCCGCTCTTCCACTGGGCGGGCCGGACACCTGGCGCCGCCGCGTCTCGCGGTTGGGGATCAGTCCCTTGACCCGCTCGCGGGACATGGGCGTCCTGACGGGCGACTGAGACGCCGTTCCGGTGTCCGGTGACGTGGAAAAGGGCCAAAGGCTGAGAGCATCCGATGGTCCATGTTTTGGATTTACATGGATTGATATGTCAATATGGTCTTTCATGTTTTGTTGTTGGAAATATGTTGAATTGTTTCTCACATTTTTGGATTTATGGGTCGGTATAGTGCATACCCACTCCGAAAGAAGCAGTTCCAGAAACTGCTGGGGAGATTCCAGTCAATCACCAGAGGCGCTCAGATGCCGCCAGCTTCCTTTCAGACCAACCGTCCCTTCAGGTCAGGTTGGGGAGGTTCCAACAATGGACGAAGCGATGGACGAGGATGGCCGATTCCCCAGCAACCCGGCTGAACAATATGGCAATTGAGATCCTTTGCCTAAGAAGTGGTTGTGTGTGGAAACATCCCTTGTTTCTGGTTGTTTGGGTTTCCAGGTACTTCCCGTTCAAAGACTCTTTGGATAGAGCTGAGCGTCAGCTTTCTGGGCTGGAAGAGGAAGACGTTGTAGAGGGCATTGCGCCTGCCATGTCGTGGTAGGCCGGAGAATGTCTCAACATGTCTCAACTGTTCATGGGCGAAATCCTGCCCACACGACCTCTCAAGCGACCTCAGCTGAACGACCCCACGTGAGGCGCCTGATCTTGGACATCATCTTCAAAAAGACTTGATAGCCCTGGCATGCCAACCATCTCACATGAGACTGAGATACTTTGAGGTCATGCATGTGTCATATATCTTTAGGACTTTAGGGTCCTCGACGCCTTTTCTCAGAATGGATAGAGACCCATGTCATTGTCTTCTGGACGACGACCACAGCACAGCGTATTGTCCTTGCACATCGCACAGTGCCTCAAGCTTGTATTCGGTCAAAGGGTTCTTTTGACCTCGGACGTGTGTTTTGCCGTCGACAAGTTCACCAAAACCTCCGGAACTGGAACGACTCAAGCATCGAACCAATCTCAGCCAACCTGTCTGACTGGCCTCTAAGTTCAGCCAACACATTGCCAACCGCTGAAATTGTTTGAAATGGTTGATTTCGCGTGTCCCAGTTTGAACCCTTCCTAGATTGCTGTAACGGTGTGACCTGATCTCTGACCTTGGGCCTCAGGCCATAGGCGCGCAGGGTCATGCCACTCCTTAGGGCTTCGGAGCAAAGCACTTGGGGGGGTCGCTGGTCAAACTCCAAACTCCACCCTCCTCATCCTCCTCTCCCTGACAATCAAACAGCACACCACCTTTTTTGGGAGCGCATTATTAGTATGTATTGCCAGGACTCGTTCAAAAATAGATTCTCCACCAGTGCGTTGAGATGAATTCACAAGATGTGAGGTGCATAGGTGCACAGGTCACGATTCTCTGAACAGTCCAAACCTGGACGATGTGTGAGTCCTGTCCCATCACGACCAGGCATGTCTCCAAATCGGTGAGGCATGTATTGCAGCAAGCACCGGCGCCTAGTAAATACCCAAGGGGGGTCATGGATTCTACATGATTCTGATTCTACTTACCAGGCAGCATGAGGTAGTTAGTTGGCACGGGGAAGCCAATGGATGCAATCCTCTGGACTCCATTTTGGGGTTGGTTAGTAGCTCCGTAGAGAGTTTTACAAAGCACTCAGGGCAACATCCCAGAAGCCGTCTTCATCATGCTGGAACTCACAAAGGATGCTCCAAAGGACAGATTCACGACTTAAGCGATGCGTTCACTTGACATCGGTGGAGCGCGGATTTGGCCCAATGGCAGTAATTGCAAAGTTGATCCCCCCTCTATACAAAGGACAGAACATGATAGAGCAGTTGACCTGGCATAGAATGGCAGTCAAAGTTAAACCCATGAGGCAACGAACCTTTGGCTTGCAGCCGATGCGACCCGCTCACACTCCAAGTGGAGAAACCAAGTTCTCAGCCGGGACAGAAAGCAACAATCACAGTGAGTTGAGCTTCCTCATGCATTTGCATCGGTTGAGCTTCCCCTGCCCGTTCACGATTCGTGGCGATTCGACGTGGGCGACACGTCTAGGTCCGCCGACTTCATGAAATCCATGTTCTTCAAATGCTGCTGCCAGAAGGTGTCCAGCCTCGCCGGAGCGTCGCGGTAGCGTCACGTGGTGCGATCCCACGGGCGCTCGGGCATGGAAGTCTCGGTGTTGCGCAAGGTAATTACAACAAAGGGTACAAAAGGACCAGGTTCCAACACACATAGCTACTGCAATCTTCAGAAATTCATCATGACAGAGATTCCTGGGATTGATTGAAAAAACACCCAGGCCCAGTGTTCACTACAGCTTTCATGCAACAAACCCGTGAATGTTCTGCCTTAGAGTTGACCCAGCTTGGCCAGTCGTGAATTCAGCTGTCAGTAGCTGTCACCACAGTGACCGAACTGGGAGCTGAATATCGCCAAACATCCCAAAGCTTGAAACGCGCGACTACCGCCTTGAGAGCCCTCCCCTTGAGAGCCCTCCTGAATCCTTTTCTGGTACCGTAAATCACTCCCCTAGTCTTAAGAACTTGATAGATTCTTCCTTGCCACCTGCCATACTCTCTGATCTGAGCCCCAGTGGTGCCATCGCTTCAGGCGACCCCGCTGCATCAAGAGAACCTGCAGCATCAAGGACCAACATGTTGGTTTGTCTCGAACGTCTCAAATGTTGTTATGCCATGGGCTTATAAGCCTCAATCCATGATTATCAGTCGATGTTCATTCAACCCACCAAGTGAAAATAACACCTGCAACAACAACGCCAACTCGCATTCACAACATGCTTTTGGTGCGTGCTTGCTGGCTGAGTGCTGACGATGACCAACTTTGTCCAGTGATTCTCAGCACTGAACAAATGCCCATCTCTGCACCGGTTCGGGTGAGAAACACAGATTATACTCTGCTGAACGATTTGATATGCTTTGATCCTCTGGGTGATCAAATCCAAACTACAGTGGTCAACCCCCCCTGACAGTCGTCAAGCTGAGGTGATCAAGCCACTGACATCACCGCTGTTCCCCACAAGTGGCAAGTCGCCTGCCGTGTGACCATGGCAGTTAGGCCAGGCCTGAGGCTGCAGCTGTCTCCGTGTGGAAAGCTTCTGTCCACTCCCAAGACCGACCAGCGACAGCAAATCCAGTGCTTGGCTGTTTTTGACATGTGTTGTAGATGTTTTTGGCAGAAGTTTCTCGAAAGGGGTCCACGTTTGTACCCGGTATCCCACCGCGATGGTTGTTTCACAACTACACCACAAGGGAATGTTCTTCCAGAAACGTTCTTGCTAAAGGAAAAGGTTGCCCCGCTCAAGAATCCCTGCAAACAAGAGAAACAAGCATCTTTCTGTTGGGAATCCGAATGTGTTCTTTGTTTGGATCATTTCATTAGCAAGGCGGTTCTCTTGACATTTTGTCCGAGAACATTGTGCATGCTACTCTCTCACCAAGAATATTGATCTGTCGACCCGAGTAACAAGGGCCCGGCCTCTTAGAAGTGTGCCCTTTCGAAGGAGAATCTCTGTTATTATATAGGAAATGTATGGACATGTTCTTCAGTTTTTGAATTTGCAACTGCAGAGGATTTGTTTCATGCATATTATGCCTTTCCCATCAAACATTGATGGATTTCCCATCTATTACAAATCGATTTGTATACAGAAGATGCCTTCCCATCCTTTTTCCGACAAACTGAGTGTCCAAGCCCAGCCCCTTCAATCAACTCCAACTTCCGGTAGAAGGCCTTCTGCCTCGGAAGATGTTCTGGTTCCAAACAAAAAGGCAAGCCCCAATGTAGGTAAATGTGCCATACATATCATACATGGAGTGCCTGAGAGCTATATCACTACGAGCAACCAACATCCTGATTCCGTTTGGTTGGTTGCTGTATCATATCCCTTGAGTCCTTCCAACATTCTGTTTCCAGCGGGAATTCCAAGAGGGGCCATTTCGCTATAATCTTCCTGAATTCACCACAAATCATCATCAGGTCTGAGCTCGCAACGCTTCTTCCTGGAGGTAGGCAGTCACAGCTGCAGCCTCAACTGACCAAAGCCCCTTTCCCCTGACCCGGGCCAATCAACCCACTGTTTTGCACTCTGACAACATCAACTCACCAAAACCGAACATCGATCTGTGAAGACCTTGGTAAGACCCCATCAATGTTCTCAGTTCAGCTTACAAAGCTTCAGCATATTTCCGCATGTTTCAGCTCATCAGGGGCTGTACAAGGATGCCTTCTCTTCAAGGTTCTGATGGTTGTGTCCTGTGAACCTCATCAATCCAGCTACACCCTCTTACAAAAAGTGTACCTTTCAAAAAGAGTCCAAACAGAAAGACTCCAACAAATTCCTCCCTACCCTCCCTCAAAGACCCAAAGAAATCACACCGGTCTGCTTTTCCGCCTCTGCACCGTCATCTGCACGTGTTTCATGGATTCAAATGGCGCGCCGCAGAATCACTGCAAGATGTGGGCGGGGTACCCTTGCCCACCAACGGGGGCTCTCGCATGTTGCCAGGGGTTGCTTTGAAGGCTTTCATCGGGCTGGAGTTCTTTAAGTCGAACGTCATATTCCTCAATGCCCATATAGCGATTCCCCACACGACCGCCCGAGAGGGCGACACGTATTGGTTCGCCGTTCTTCACCAACATGCGCAGAAAATGTGCTCCAGGGAAAAGATTGCTCAGCCTCAGGTCCATCTCGATCTCTTGGCAATCTTCATCTGGCGCCACGAACCAGCCAGGAAGAGCATCATAGTCAGGAAGTGCCTGAGGTTTGTGAGTGTCAATGGCAGCATAATGGCCATCATCGTAGACCTGCTTCGCCGCAGGACTTTCTGAAGGAGCCTTCCAGAATGGAGTTTGGTCGGGCTCCAAGTAATCGCCATGCCACAGGGAGATGAGTTCCACCAAAGCATCCACCTTCATGCTTTGGGTACTGAAGGTGGAGCCTAGCATGGAATGACCTTGTTCGATCTTCACTTCTTGATTTTTGGAGTCGAACGTCATGACATCGTGATCGTTCTTCCTCCACGGCTCAAACAACAGGATGCCCTGCTTGACATCTGCTTGAATCCGATACTCGATGACAAAGCGACTGGGAAACCTGGCGCGAACGAGCCGTCTTCGGGCAGAGGTGAATCGAAGAGCAAAACGCTGGGGTAGAGGCTTTAGTGCTGGTTCACAGCGCAGGACCGTCATCAGGGATGTCCCAGTTAGAACCTCCAGGCGTTGAGAACTGTACAATTTCAAGCGCTTTCCATTGGCATGCCACACCTGATGATCAGCATCGATCCCCAAGTGTTCCTGAATAGCTTGCCGCAACTCCTCACATGTCATGCTAGCATTCACAGGTAAAGTGACAGCGTCTGTAAGGCATTGGACCTCCAACTCCCAAGTCTGGGACGTTCCAACTCCCATGAATCAAATGCCCGGAACAGTGCTTTTTGACCGCCCAGACTTGAGCCAATTCAATCCAAGCTTGGTCAAATTCCTTAAACATCTGGCCTCCAAAAGACTCTTCAAACATCTCTGATCTCACCTTCACCACTATGGACCCCTTCTTCCGTTCTTCCTGAACAAAAGACCAATTCCTCTGCAAGCAACACTTGGGCAAACCTGGAGCCTGGTCATGTGGTTCCCTATGACATGAACAAACCTCCTTGAACTGAGCACAGCTTCATCAGCTTTACTAGGCTCCGCTAGTGCTTTCTTCCACAGGTGAGATCCGCCGTAGCACATGGCCAGGAGATCACCCTGATTGCTTGTTGTTAGAAAGAACCCCGATGGATAGGATTTCTGGAAAGGCTTTCCATCCCTAGTATCCTCAGGACCAAAGACTCCAGGAAACTCCACAAATCAGGTATGCCACACGCAGCGATCCATGACCTTCCTTCTCTAGCCGAAGCGGATCCGCAGGTCGACTTCATCACCCATCAACGACTGAGTTTGGGCTGTTGGCTTCATACCAAACCCCTTCCAAAAAGCCCACCTCTTGGACCCACCGCGGTGCGACACAAGGAATTTCTTTCTCGGAAGGCTCCCGAGGCACGGCTGGTCGGGATCCGTCCGTGAGCCAGTTCGTCCTGCACTAGTCATCCAGCACCTAGTTTGGGCTCCAGTCGTACCCCAGAAGGTCTGACCCCTCCTGGCACCCTCCCCAGTCCCACCTTCGAAATGAAGGTACGACTGGAGCCCTAGGCTAGGGCTGCCTTGGCGGTTGGAGAAGAGTCCCTGGGCTGCCCGTACTCCTGCAGGTCCACCACCACCTGCCACCTCTCGAAGCTTCTCAGGCCTCGTGGAGTCGTCGTGCGGAATCAGCTCTTGACATACGTCTGAGGGACTTAAGTAGTTACAGAATACCACTCACTAGGCTTGCCGAAGCCGAAGGACAAGTCTATAGATGCATTTATGTTGGTGTGCAACATATCAGGCAGGAATCATCTCCAGGTCTTGACCCACTCTGAAAGGGGATTTGTGCTAGGTTGCTGTTGATGGTGAAGATCCACTCTGACGGATAGAACAGGATGCATCAAACAACTGACTAGATCCATGAAGGTGTTGCGGCCCCAGTGAATCACCCTCTGCCTGGGGTGCTCTAAAGTAGTAGATGCCACAGGATAACAAACACCTACTTTTGGCCTTCCGGCATCCTGCTGTGATTGCAAACATCATGAAAAAGGGTAAACCAGGAGCTGGTTCCATGTCTGCCACGGTTTAATTGTTGCTACACCACATGGCGGCCCGAACCTTCTTTCCCTCTCCACGTCTTGGCCGTTTCGATATCCGGAGTGAACAAACCTCGCCCCTTACACTATCTCCACTCACCCTTCCCATCCTTTGGAGACCAAAGAAACGTATCATCGGCGGGAATGGCAAGCAAAGTAATTATATAAGTAAAACATACCAGGACGGAATGTGCAAGTGTGCACATTCTGATACATGCACTTCACCATTCGCCGCCAAACAAGGAAAGGAAAACTCAGCTCCAAACTGCTCTCGACTCGTTTCCGCTCCAGGCGAGTCGCTCTCCGAGTCTCCCCCATTCTCTCGTCTTTTTGTCCATGTGGTCGGCATCTGTACAACAGTCTGTACAAGAGGAAAAACCACAGAACCCCCTAAGCCGGTCATCCGGCCGCTACTTAGCTCAGGGGAGGGCT